CTGATACAATGGAGATCATGAGAAACTCTTCACAACAGATTATTGTTTAAAACCACACTCTTCTGCCTGAGGTGAATGCTGTAGGAGAGAAACCTGTGAGGATTGCTTGGCATTCCTGCTTCAAGTGATAACTTCTCCATGCAAACAAGACATTTAGGCTGAGGAGGAGAACCATTGAGAATTCAAGTTGGAGATATTTGCTATACATAATTAGTGCCAATTTTATTTTTGGACCAGCATTAGTCTTGTTTGATAATATTCTAGATCTGGTAAAAATGTGAGAAAGTATCTCTAAAAATTAAACATATTTCTGTTCAGTGGGAAAATGAGCAATCTGAATAAGGTCTGCTCTTGTCTTATTAATAGCAGTGTACAGGTGCTATTTTTTGTTTTGTTTTTCAAGTAATAGTTATCGAATGGATAGTCTTGTGCATTTTTTGTTTTGTTTTTCAGGTAATAGTTATCGGATGGATAGTCTTGTGCAAGTGTTCTATAACTAAGCTACATTCCCAAACCTTTTAAAAAATTTTTTTAAAATATTTTTTACTGGGGCTGGGGATGTGGCTCAAGCGGTAGCGCACTCGCCTGGCATGCATGCGGCCCGGGTTCAATCCTCAGCACCACATACAAACAAAGATATTGTGTCCGCCAAAAACTAAAAAATAAATATTGAAATCTCTCTCTCTCTTAAAAAAAATAAAAATAAATATTTTTTAGTTGTTGATGGACCTTTATTTATTTGTATGTGGTGCTAAGAATTGAACCCAGTGCTTCATGCATGCTAGGCAAGTGCATTACCACTGAACCACAACCCCAGACCCAAATTTCTTTTTTTTTTAAATTTTGAAATAGGGTCTAAGTTGTCCAGGATGGACTTGAACTTGTGATTTTCCTGCCTCAGGCTCCTCAGTATCTGGGATTACAGGCATGATCCACCATATCCAGCCTAATTTCTGTTTTGATGTTAAAATTTAGAAAGCGGGTAAGGGATTGTGGAGATCACCATTGGGCTGGCTGGGGGTGTAGCTCAGATAGAACACTTGTCTAACATGCTTGAGGTCCTGGATTCAACCCCCAAAATATATATATATATATATATATATATATATTTTAAAAAGCCCTAAGCAATTCAGCAAAATAAAAAATAAAAAGGGCTGAGAATATGATTCAGTGGTAAAGTATCCCTGGGTTCAACACCGGTATAAAAAAAATTTAATAAAAGTACAAAAACTAAATTAATATAAAATACCTAAGGAGATCATAAAGAGGAGGATGAAAACTGTGCCAACTAAGCCACTCTTCTAAAAATAGACAAAAAAGCACAAAAATTAGCTAGGCATGGTGGTTCATGCAGGTAATTCCAGAAACTTGGGAGTCAGAGGCAGGAGGATTGCAAGTTCAAGGTCAGCCTCAGCAACTTGGTGAAGCCCTAAGCAATTCAGCAAAATAAAAAAATAAAAAGGGCTGGGAATATGATTCAGTGGTAAAGCACCCCTGGGTTCAATCACCAGTACAAAAAAAAAAAA